ATTTGTGTTGAAACTGAAGCGAACCTGGGAAAAGATTACTGTTTGATTATCCCAATCGAATAGTGTTCTTTAAAATATTTTTGATTACTAATTGTCCATTTGTCATGGTCTGGGAGAGATAGCCTGTATCTCTCCATAGACGTGATAATGTATATATCTCCTGGTCAGCGTATGATTGCATTATAAATTATTCGTCGAGTAGGACATATGACACAAGACTGAGCAAAAAGTTGTGAAAAAAACTTGAACATTTTTAAAGGGCATGATGTGGGGTTGGATTAAATGAATTTAGTTCTTTGATTTTGATTTTTCATGTCTGTGAACTGTTAGTAAAAAATAATTAAATAAATAAGTGAACCAATTGTTTGTTTTTTTTTTATCTTATCATAGGCCTAGCTTTAATACTGATATGAAATCATTACTTTTCATAAATTATAAAACTGATATATTAAATAAATTGAAATAGTTCCAATGCTTTAAGGATATCACATGCATTCGAATTTTTTCTGAAAATATTGGATGGAAATTTAAAAGAAAATTGAAAATTAATATACTTTTTATAAATGCAGAAACTTTATTTAAAGTCCAAAAATGGGCATTTTTCAATTTACAAATTTTCACGGTAATAAAACAATGCAATGTTTTATTATTTTTGTTTAGATAGTTGAAGTTTTATTAAGCAAAATAGACTAAGAATCAAAAGTATGATATTTATTTCAGTTTTTAAAAGTGAAATTAATTTTATCAGACTTTTAATTCTTAATCTACTACTTTACTAATAATAACTTCAACTATGTAAAACAAAATAATTTAAAAAGACATTGCATTTTTTACATTGTTAAAACTTTTAAGTTAAAAGAAAAAGGAACTGTGTTCCTGTTAATGTGGCATTTAATTTATGACTCCTCACTTGTTAGGATTGAAATATGTGTTTTTTGTTTTTCTTTTAAAATAAAACAGAGGGTAGATAAACAAAAACAAGTTATCTTTCTTTTAATATTGTAAAATTTGTTTAAAGTTTTCCCAATTTAGAAAAAAAAGAAGTATTGTCTTTGTTTTTTTTACGTATCCCCAGTTTTATTTTTAAAAAAATAAATAAACACAATTGTACTTTTATTTCCTAATTTATCAGTGAGGAGTTATAAATACCACATTAACAAAAACATAGAAAAAAAAAAAATGGCATCATACAGGCATTAGATTCTGAAAAATGGATAAAAATATTAAAAATTGATGGGTGCATGAATAATTTCATTGTTGACTATATAGTTGACTCTCCCGTCGAGATTCGATGTATGAGGGTCAAGCATATCAGTTTCCAGGAAACCGACAGCCCGACACCGGCACATGAGATTTGATTATAGTGGTGAAGGCTTCGTGCAGGACCATCCACACTTTTTGAAGGGACGAATACAGAGACCTGGTGCACCGAATGCCACAAGGTTCCCAAACGACCCTCTGCAGGTTTTGAATTCAGAGTTTTCCTTCTCTTAGACCAGTTGCCATCCAAGGCTATAGAACCCAGTCTGTCCTGCTATTTTACCCATAGCTGGAGGGAGAGGAAGAGGATTCATATCTTTCCCAAGGGTATTAGCACGTAAGTGAATGTAATGGATTCGACTGGAATTCGAACTTGGCTCTGCGATTCCTCATTCCAAGCCGCTATCCATGACTCCACCGTGCCTCGTGTTGACTATATATATATATATATATATATATATATATATACTTTAAGTGGTTAATGTGCATTGTAATATTATATTCCTTCTGGGAAGGGGACGCAAACTTGAGGGCTTCCCCAGGTGGCAAAAACACTAGCTATGCCACTGCTTTTGAGAATTTCAAACCAAACCCTTTATTCAATGGAAATTGTTTTTCTACTATTTTATATCATTTTCATATGTTTAGTGAATTAATTCTTGTGATATAATTTGTCTTTGAACCAGATTTTGTAATTTTTTTTCTTTTACACTAACTGATCCAGGGATTGAACTCACAAATGACAGGCAAGTTGATTTGCTTAATCAATGTTTTATCTATTTGGCTAGGTGTCTTGTAGGACAATTCAGTTGTGAAATCTTGGAGCCTTAAAATTTATCTCACTGTCTGCCTCTTCAAATGAACTATATTTTATATATTAAATTTACACTATCTGTAGTAGAATTTTTGAGTTTAAGATCTAATTTTCTTTCTTAAAATTACTTTATGGTATTTATTTCTATGCTAGGCCTACTGAAGAGGTTATTAGAGTGTATCACATGTATTAATTCTTTCAATGACACAATTTTACAGTGTTGTTCTCTATTATTCTGACTTTATTTCACAAGGGTTAGTGACCCTTCGTTTCTCTTCTCATATGTTCAGCCACACCTGATTTCATTATTTCCAACTAGATTATGCCTCCCCAATATTCTTCTAAGCTTAATTTTAGTTGGTAGCTTGTGTTGTTGACTGGAATTCTTGATCATGTTTTGACTAATTCAGATTACATCTGTTTATATTTCTGAGATGAGGTATTGTAATGTTTATACTATTTACATTGTTTGGACTGTTGTTCTCATCTTTGTTGTCACATTCACAATGTTTCGTCTGTTGTATCCTCTGGCTTTCTTCTAACGTATATCTCCTGAAGAAGGCCTGAGCATATAATGACTTAAACATCATGAATATGACAATAAAGATGAGGACAACAATTTGAACAATGTAAATAGTGTAAATAATTCAGATTAATTAAACATATTCCATATAGTAAAAATAAAAATGGAGTTATGTAAACAACATTTTTTAACTTACATTTCTTTTTTATAAATTAAACTATCAGGGTGTGGCATGCACCTAATACATCTGCAGTTTAATTGAAATTCTATTTAATTTTTGATGATCATATTACAAAACAAAATCTTTCAAAAGTAAAGAATGAACTTCACTAGTGCTATTGTTTGTAAGGAAACTCATTTGAGGCAAAAAGATTCTTAATTTCATGATTTCTTTTTGGAAAAATACCTCAGTAAAATGTATCCTTTCTTGTGCATTAAGATGACTTTCTATCTATCAGGTCATCCCATAAGTTCTGTCCGAATTTTGAATAAAGAAAAGTGATCAGATGTTACATTGAATTACAGATTCAATCAACAATGTATTTTCCCTGATTATCTATGACTTCCTTCCATCTATTAACAAGCTTACTAATTCCATTACTGTAAAATTCTTTTGGCTTTGATTCAAAGAACTCACAAATGTCAGTTTTAACCTCTTCCTGTGTTACAAAAGCTGTTTCTTCCAAATGATTCTGTAAGCTACAAAACAGCTGTGACTGGGGTCCTTCCCCTTTACCAAGCCACTGTCTACAACGCTTAACATTTCAATAAAAGATCCATTTTTCGTCGCCAGTCACAAGTCTATCCAAAAAAGGTGAAACAAGTTGGTGAGAATGGAGAGAAGAGCAGATGTCAACTCAGGATTTGAGGTTGTTTTCAGACAATTCATGAGGCACCCATTTTCCAAGTTTAGGAACTTTTCCAAGTTGTTGAAGATGACGATGAACAGTTGTATGGTTTGAAATGAGAACCACTGCCAATTCCTCAACTGATAAAGAAGGATTTTCTTCAAGGTCTGCTTCAAGAAGCTTTTCATCAAACTCAACTGGACTTCTGGTTCGATCTTCATCTTCAAGGGTGAAATCTCCACCTCTGAATTTTGCAAACCATCTTCTGCAAGTTCTTTCATTCACACATTCCTCTCCATAAACTGAGTGAATTTTTCTAGCTGCTTCGGCTGCTGAGTTTCCTTTCTTGAACTCATAAAGCATTATGTGCCTCAAATGATTCTTAGGTACTTCCATGTTAGCAGGGTTTTAATCAAACAAAATTTAATTTTATTGTTCTCTGAAATAAAATTTGATCAGTTTAAATGCATCTAAACATAAAAATAATGTTCAGCTTCATTAAACATTATAAAATACTCTTTAAATTTCGTTCATTTTAACAAAAAGTTAAAATTCGGACAGAACTTATGGGATGACCAGATATGATTATCCAGGAACTTTTTCTAAACGGGTATTATTGGTTGTTCAAAGGATAGTTCATAGGTCTTGCTGCACTATTTATTACCACCAGGAAGACAGGCCAAGGATGGGAGTGTCTAAGTAAATAAATATTAGTTCCACAGATCTAATCTCTTGTTTACTTTCATATTACTCTAAAAGTCCACAAACCTTGGGAGTGGCATGAATCTCTATTTGCTATTTTACTTCTACTTAACTCAGATAAGAAGAAAAAGAAGCAGCAGCATTAAAGTAACCATCACCATCAATCTTTCCATTCTTAATTTGTCTTCTTGATATCACTTACAAGATTTGTCTTTAATATAGACACTGCTGAGGTGATAATAAATATTAAGACATGTATCAAAAAGAACATGAAAAAAATTGATAGCTTATCAATCACATATACATCTAGCCTTACATTTGTCTCTTACAAAACAGACACACACACACACACACACACATATATATATATATATATATATATATATATATATATATAATTTTGTATAATTTTATATACCAACAAACAGTATTTAGAAAAAATAGGACAAACTTGAAAGGTTTCTTTGCAACACAAAAAACCTTTACAGCTTGTCATATTTTTTCTAAAATTTTTATGTCTATACACATCAATCTCAGAATTGTATTTTCATTTATAAACCTAAATGACAAAAAGTAATTTATGCTGATTGATTCTTTTCCTATGGCTTATCAACCCTTTGCAGGTTATTTAAAGCCAGAAAATATTTTTACATTGTAAGAATTTTCTTTTTTTAGATAATAATGATTTAGTGATACAAGTTTTACTAATTAACCCATAGCTGGTGGGATAAGTGAATTCATACCTTTTCCCAAGAGTATTTGTGCTTAAGTGAATATAACGAACCTAATTGGAATTATGCTCTCTAATTAACAATTCTGTACCACTATCCATTACACTACCAACACATCCAAGCTTACAGCATCTGATATTCCATAGCAGTCACCCATCTAGATACTGACCAGGCTTGATGTTGCTTAACTTTGGTGATCATATGGGAACTGGTGTTTCAATGTAATATGGCTATAAACCTTCCACAAAATATACCAAAATGTAATTCATTATTTTATTAACAAACAAAATGATGACTGTGTTTAATGTTTTGCTTAGTTAATTTTCAAACATAGAAGTATTCAGATAACACTACAATCTTAACTTCTTCAAGGCTAGCATCAATTATCTATCTTCCATATCCTCATAATCCTCACTTCTTACTTCCTAACACACACCTCATTCAGCAACTATCTACCTTGAGTGGCTCTTTGATTTTTTGCTTTACTTAAAAGAAAAAGAATGACTACATATAAGGGTGGATCAATAAATCCATAACCTGATATATAACCTTTAGGTGAATTTTGATCTGAAATTTTCTTTGTATAATGTTCAGTCTATATGATTAATATTCTCCACTTAAGCAGGAGATTATGCTGAAAAATAAATATTTGTTTTTTTTAAAATAAATGCTTTTAGGTAGCAGGGTTATAGATGTTCCCGATGGAAGTAAGTAAGTAAGTAATTTGTTTCACAATTTGATATTGTCAGTAGTTTTAAATATATCAAAGTAGCTCCACCTAATTAATGGCCCCAGTTTTAACTCATGTTTGGAAAACAAATATTGTTATTTGCCATTTGTGCTTATTTTTATAAAGTACAGAAAAAGAAATGAAACTGTTAAATCTCTAATCTCTTTGACCCTTTCAAGTCTGTTCGGGCAGTGATTTCTTACAAACAATTATTCATTTCTTATATCTGAATTTTATTTATTTTATATTTTGCCTTGAAGAAAAAAAATGAAAAACACTCCAAAATGTTTGTTTATCCACTCCGTTACAATTTCATCAGAGCGGAAAATAGCTTTTCAGAAATGTTACTGTCCATAAATGTGGTAGATTTTGATCTAATAGACACAAATATGAGATGATTATTGAAACAAAATGGTAAAACATCTATGATTTAAAAAAAAAAAAAAAAAATTTGCAGGAGCAAAAGAGAGAAAAAATTCAAAGTATTAACTTTAAGAAAATTAATATTTCTTTCTTAAATTTTTTCCTTCATTTTTTTTCAATGCATTCTTTCTTTCCTTTACTATTTTTCCTTTGTTTGTTTTTTCATTCATTATTCTTCCTCTTTTGTTTTTCTTCTGCATTGTTGTCATACAAAATAAATTCTTGTTTGTTTTCTCGAAAGAAAATTAGAAAAAATCATTTTATACAATTAGCAAAATAACTTCAAATAGCATAATCTGCAAACATTAATCACTCTGTCACAGTAATCTTTCAGGAATTTGAATTGATTAACAAATATATGAATGTTTTCCCTTGCCCCATGTAAGTCACTAAGTGCTATAAGTAATCCTTATTTTTAGTTGCGTAACTCTGTCAACTTTACCTCTATTCTATGATTGTTTATAATTTGTTTGTAGATTGAGAAACGGTAAAAAGCAAACATTTACAATTTTTCCTAATGTTTTTTTACTGGTCATTTTAGAAATGAACCCTCATATTACAACAATAACATGAAAAGTACTGAACAAGTTTTACCTGAGGTTGTATGAGATTTTTAATTTTTAATTTAGTGAACAATTTTGCTTTTGATACTAAAATTTAAAGGGTGATATTATTTTGGCCAATATGAAATAAGTCATAGAAAATGTAGCATGATTTATATTATGTTCCATTTCAGTATCTCAGAAATTGGCTAAGCTGATCTACAGATACACAATTTTTTTTCTTTCATAATAAGAAACTTGTGATTTTGACCAGTATTTGGGTATTTTTTCTCTTCACAAAAGACACCTGGGGAGGGTGTGTTTTTTTTTATTTTTATGTTTATTTGTATTTTCAGTGTTGATTAGCATGAATGAAAAGAGGATAAAGGAGTAATTAACATTGGGTAGAATAGGTTTTATATATATATATATATATATATATATATGATCGAAATAAAAGTATAAAATTTAATATTACAAGACATATTAAAACAATATTAAATAATAAAAAAAACAAAAAACTCAACAACAGGGGGAAGCAACGGTTTTCGCTCCCGCTCGTCAGGCTTCCACGGAGATTCAATATTAAAACAGAGAAATGTACAATGTGAATAGGTGGAAAAAAAAAAAAAAAAATTATATATATATATATATATATATATATATATATATGTTTGTATATGCAAGAAGGAACTAGAGGCAGATGACAGCGAGTCCCAACAAACACTCACGTTGTTTGCACAAAGAAGGCTTGCGGGACCCGATGTAAAGTGCCTCCAGAACCTTCAGGTGAAATACAGAGTGTGACCGGGCCAACACGGTGAACCAGTCAACACTAAATTTGGCGGCACAATCTCTTTTATTTCGATCATTAAATTTTGTACCTACAAAAATATCTTTAAATATATATATATATATAGTTTAAGAAAAACTATGTAATCCGTATGGGTAAACCTAAGGAGGATAAAATCCAGAGCTCAATATATATATATATATATATATAGTCAAGGCACCTGGCATTGCCTGGGTGTAAATGTCTGCTTGCATCATCTGTTGATGATGCTAAGCTATCTCATCTTTTTTTTTACAGTATGTCCTTCACAAACGTTTAATTGTTCTTAAAGGAATTCCATCAATAAAATCTTCTTGTGTGGTCATTGCTTGGGGTTAAATTGCTTCAATGTTTTAGATATTCAGTAAATTTCCTATGGCTGTAACAACTTTCAAATAGTATGCATTGCTCACAAATCTAATAATCAAACAAAAACAGGGATGAAGCATCAGAGCTTTATTCAACTGCAAGTGCAAATGCATGAACACCTTCCTCCTTCTTCATGTGTTTACTGTAAAGCTGAGGTTAATATGAGGGTCTTTGGAAAATTTTTCCTTTTTAATGCTTCAATAATCCTTCTTGAACAACATTTGCATCAAAGGTTGGTTGAATGCCAATTTATGATGAAAATTGTATGAAGAATTTATTGGCTAAATGGCATAAGATGATTTTGGTCATGGTTAATGCAGATTTTGTCCACTTAACTGAAATAATCTAAACCAAACATTCATACAAGACAATATGTATATCATATGTAATTTACATGGAAAATTTGGAAAGCACTGGATGAAAACCAAGAAGTTATGGGTGAAAAATGGGCTTTTTTTAACAGTTTTTCATAGTTTTTCATTACATGCAGAGAAATGAGCAGGACTAAAACTGCACTGTCCTATTTCTTGCATGATGCAAATGTTTTGTGATGTTTGAAGAAAATTGGATAAAAAATGAGGAAGTTATTCAAGTTCTTATTTTAAGTAGTATGAAAAACGATTTTTTTCAGTTTTTTGCAATTTTTTGTGTGAAGCCAATGTTGCAGGAAAACTATCAAGCACTCTACATAAACCTTTTAACATGAGCTATATTTTGCATTGTGCAAAGAATATCAGCTTATCTGTTACAAATTTTGTTCATGTGTAACTTTGCCTTGGCTTTTGCAAAAAGTTGTACTCACCTTCAGTTCTATAAATTTTTCTGACAAACCAGGGGTGTGGGGAGGGAGGTCTAGAGATTGAAAAGTTGGTCTTGACTTACCTTGGTAAATTTTCAACCTGTGTGTTTAATTTCATCAAAATTGGTCGAGAAATGTGGATGTGCATAAATAGCATACACACAAAAGACAGACAGACACACACACACACACACACACACACACACACATCTTCAGTTTTATAGCTATAGACTATTCTATATAAAATACATCTTAAACAGTCAAAACATAAAAAGAAACTAACAACACCTAAAGCAAAGCCTGCTTAAAAATGGCTAAAAAGTGGCTGAAAGTGGTTTGGACAATGAATATTATGGATAATTTTTGCACTCCCTTAGTCCCACCAAACTGAAAAATGTAAGAATGCTGGAAAAACTAAATAAAAAAAAAATTTTCTTTGTCTGCCATATTTAATGAAAGATGTTTAAAAGGAAGATTGCTGCACAAATATACATATATAATTATGAAAGTGGAGACCCATGAGTTTCTAAAGTCTCCACTTTCATAATTATCATTTGCTCTGTTCTTACATTTAGCTCTCTTTGGATTTATATCCTCTTTGGAATTATCCATATGGATTATCAATTTATATTATATATATATATATATATATATATATAATGTGGGTATCTTAGTAAAATGAAAGATTGTTACTTACTACTTAAAGTCAAGAGTGCTGCCATATTTTACAAGAAAGGGAAATGGTTACTGCATTTACTTCCTTTTTTTATGGAAGAGCAAAAAAATCTTGTGAATGGGAAGTTGTTTGTGATTGGACTATAAAGGCCAGAGGAGTCAGTGTATTGGGTAGTGTATTATGAGAATAGTTGTAGCTGACAGATTGCACACAAGTCAATATCTAATCAGTGGAGAGGGAGTCTGATATTGAAAACCAGGAACCCCTAATGATCTTTGACTAAAAATATCACTGCTGATGTGTGCCAAAGCATCAAAGAGATGTATTTCATGAAAAGGGTTACTTAATTTTTGTACATGAATTCATACTCAAGTTCATAAACGATTTCTTAAGTTTTTATGCTTGGATCTAATAAATATAAAAGATATTTCAATATAAACTTGTAGAATATTTGAATACAGTATGAAATAAAATATTTACTGACTCTTTTTGTTTAATTTTAGTTATTTTTATTTCTTTTTTTTTTTTTAGTTGCTTAAGTAACACTAATGTCAATAGTGGAGTCGCTTAAGATTTAGTCATATTTGACTACAGTTAACAAAATTGTAATGAAACAGTAAAAATTTTAATAATTATAGATATCTATTAAATAAAGTTTAAAATAATTTCATATTAAATTTAATCACTACCACTGAAATATTTCCTGCTGTTTATGCAAAATGATCTTATTTTGTGTCTATAAGGAAATAAATATCTTGATTTTTAATATGATATGAAGGATTTGTGAAAGGTTATCTTATGACATTGTTTGTTTCCACCATATATCACTATATTTAGTTTGATTGTATATTGACTTTGT